TCCCCATTTCCTCCTGATCAGCTGGGACTTGGAAGGCAGAGAATAGATGGGGGTGGGCCAGTCAGAGGTGGTATTTACTGGTTCTCCGAACTACTCAAAATTTCTGCTACTGGTTCTCCAAAACTGGTCAGAACCGGCTGAATACCACCTCTGATTGTCAGTAAAAAGTAAAACCCACTGAACTTCAGCAAGCCCTTTCTTTTAGTAAATAATCATAAGATCATGCTACAAGGGTCATGCTAGGATGGGTTCACTTTCTGTTTTAATCAAAGGTGAGAAAATTCGCAGAGACTTCCTACCTCTTCATAAAAGGAGTCATTTGTGAGAAATCAACCTTAAATGAGACACCAAGTGTTACCTTGTCAGAAAAGAAATGTTTGAAAGTTTATAGTGTGATAGAAAAGTCACTGGGTATGAATCAGACTCCAAATAATTACTTTTCTGAAATGTGTTGCAATGTCACTGAAATCCAAAAGCAGTTTATGCTGTACAGTATGTTAACAAAGAAAGGGGATATAAAACCTTTGGTCTTAGAGTTCTATCACCCCACCCCTGGCCATTGGCCTCCAAAGTCCCTCAAACAGTTTTTTTTTTTTTACTTTAATAGAAGAAATATTGGTTTATTATATTAATTTTAATAAAATTCATATTTGTCCTTTCAGTATTAGTGATAGGATGGATAATAATAAGATCAAGTCTATTTAGATTATATTAAAATACCACTCAACCTAAAATACCAGTACAGGGGTGAATTTATTTCATTTCAGGCATCTAGAGCTATGACAGCTTAAAAGAAAAAGAAAAACGTGAAGAGTTGAAAATGCTGCAATAAAGATAGAAAAAGCAAGCTGCAATTACATGACATTTGAAATTATTTATAGTGGATTTAAGAGCAAATAGGTCTTTATGAGATGCTCTTATTGGCAGGCTGCTGAGAGTGTTCAGTCTCTCATTTAGTTTTGCTCTGCAGGCGGGGAAAAGAGTAGAATAGAAATGAAGGGTTAGGGTTAGGGTTAACCCTAACTTTTCAGACTTGCCACACCAAGGCCTAAGGTACAATGTTGGTATGATGTTGCAAGAGTTTTTTTTTAAAAAAAACACAATAGCAAAGATTGGGATAATGTACTTGAACCATTTCCTAATTTTAAAAAAATACAACTACAAAGTTCATTGTTCAATGAAATGCCTGGATTTCATTTTTAGAAGAACATAGAGACAATTTAATTTAAACATTATTTTATTTACAATATAGGATAAAAATAAAATATGCCACACTGCATTGTAAATAGACCTTCCTTCTTCAGGCTCCACTGCAAAGTGCAATTTAAGGTTAGTCGTTCAATCAATTCCATTTTGAATTGAAGGTATTAGTCCATGCCTGATATAACCACTCTCTACATGCAATATACTTTTAGTAAACGCTATGTAATAGGATGGGTTGACTCATTACCTAAACATGGAGAAATTAACCGTGAAAATGGGATGAAGGTTGAGGAACGCTTAAGTGTCTGATCTCCCAAATGCTTCTCTTCCTTACTTTCCTCGTCATATTGAAGATTTTTTAAAAAACAAAATACCAAGACTTGTATGATACATTTATCATGTGCTGCTGGTAACTGAATGATAAATATAGAAGCAGGTCCCAGGTGAAAATATACAGTACTCACTTGTTCACTATTAAGATGACCTGTCAAAGTTGTTCTGTGGCCATTGGCAGGAAAGGGGATATTTATTATTTTATTGTGGTTTTAATGTGAATTGCTTTGAACCTTTGTTAAAATTATTATTATTCCTTAATAATGCATAATGAGAAACAAAAATGGTAGTCTCTACAATTTTTAAAATATACAATAATCAGGTCCAATGGTGAAAATCAGACTTCAGAGAAATAAATAAGATTTGTTCTACCAGATCTCTCTCTACCAGCAATACCAAAATTATATTATGTATTTCATTATCTTTGGAAGAAAAAAAATAAACATGATATCAGATAAATTCTACTGCAGCATTGTAGTCAAGAAATGGAAGGAAGCCAGTATCGCAAATTTTAGACATTTGATACTTATTACAGTAGAAACTATTCCATAGGCTAATTCATGGGTACATTAGACAATATGCAAGGTATAAGGATTAGTGTCCCTTTTCTCAAGCTTGGAAAGATTTTATTCAGTATGCTAAAAGTTCAAACTAAATTAAGAGACCTTTGTCAATAGCAATGATGAGGATTTTGCAGACCAAAAAAAATAATTATTTTGAGGTAAAGAGATGTCATAAATCAACATTTATTTTGGCTACAATATATTATTTCTAAGTTAATTGTGTGATGATTCTGAATACAATGCTTCTATTATAACCTGTTCATTGTTAATAGTGTGATTTTATATATGTATTATATATACAAATAATATATATTTACAAATAATTTATATATTACAAATAATATTATTTTAGTAGCTTAGCTTAATATTTTGGTATTATTTATTTGGGGAACCAATATGGTGTAGTGGTTAAAACATCAGGCTAGAAACCAGGAGACCAAGTTCTAGTCCCACCTTAGGCACAAAGTTAGCTGGATGACCTTGGCCAATCACTCTCTCTCAGCTCTAAGAAGGAGGCAATGGCAAACCACTTCCAAAAACCTTGCCAAAAAAACTGTAGACTAGTCCATGCAGCTGTCATGAGCAAAAAACAAAAACAAAAAACAAACCAAACTAGACTCAAAGTTGTCTGTTAATCTATGTGTGTCTATATTTCTTTAGCAATTTAGTAGGTTAGGTTTTCTCTAGAACGTACATCCTATTTTAGTTTATCTTAATTTGTATAATCTTATATTAAAAATTATTTTACCTTCTACACAACTTTGTAAGTTTTTTAAAATTTGAGTACAATTTAATAAAAAAAAAATTATGAGATATATAACCAGATAGCAAATGAGATTCTTCTGTGAAGTCAACATGCTTGTTGTCAACCTGGGGGATGTGTTTGTAGAAACTAACCTCATCACTGGACAATCTACATGAATATTAAAAAGCAAAATTCACTACTATTGGCAGCTGCTCCTGCTAGTTCTGCAAAATAATAAACACCCTTCATTAGAAGTAGAGCAGCAGTTAAGGTTTTATTTGTAGAAAATCCTTTGTTACAAATTAATTTTTGATCTTAAAATAACTGCATTTGTCTGAGTGATTATAAATAGTTTCACAGCATACTTTCAATATGCCAACTGTTCAGCCAAGGCCAGGTTTTCACGGTACAGCTGCCTTGGTAAGTTTATGCAAAAGGCAAGCATTGTCTTTGTATACCAAAGGTTTTTGAATGAATAGACAATGGAAGAAAGAAATAATTCTCCATTCTGTCACTAATTTTACTGAATCAGCTGGGCAGCTTCTTCTTCTTCTTCTTCTTTTAATTTACTTCCAAGCTGCTCAGAAGGACAAAATGATAAACTATGGGCTATAAATCAATTTTCCTGAAATACTTATGACTGTCAATATTTCAAAATGTCCGGTAAAAAACAATTACCTTATGTCTGATACTATCTCCTCACAAGAACTAACAATGCAAAAATTTGATTTCAGAAAGATAGGTCAGAAGATGTGCTGGCCCCACCTATTCAGAGAGACCTGGGAGGCAAAAAAGCAGAAAGTTTGCAAGCATTTGCTGGTAAATTGTCTCATGAAGAGCAGTTGCAGAATTGCATCTTACTTTCCTTACTGACACATCCCTCACTGCTAGGACAATGTCAGAACTCTTTCTGAATGTATTCTATCAAATAGAACTAGATGGCATGTTTTAGCCACTATTGGAAACCAAGCCAAAGGCTCAGGGTTTTTGGTTTTAGCACAATATATGCATTCAGCAGCCACTGTGATTTATAAACCATGGATTATGTTAGGACTAAATTTAAACCAGGTCACTATGGCTTGTTCAAAAAAAATACCATGACTTAGAGGACTCATAAATCTCCTGTTTATAAAATCAGAAAATCAGAGAAATATAGCTTGTGCTCATAAAATCTCTAGGTAATATCACAAGAATTTCTGTTATTTTCCTTTTATGTGAAGCAAGAATGACTTAATGCATCAGCATATAAGATTCCCAGGTCTTTTTCTGAAGGTACAAGTTAGATTCATTCTAAGGGACAGCTGAACACTTTAGCACCTATTTTGAAGTAAATCTTGCATCAGAAAATATCAAAATGTTTAGAACTCTTTACCATGCATCTACTGGATTACATCATACTCACTATAGACCAGTCAATTAATTCAAACAGGCTATTAATTGGAGATGATCATGATGATCATGAAATAATCATTTTAAGTCAGCAAAATGCTAAGTTTAGTGATTGACTCATATTGTCTTAAAGACTGACTTTCCTCTGCTTGCAAATCCAGGAATAAGGTCATATACTGAGACTTTTTTTTCAAACTCCTCCCAGAGAGAAGAGTCAGATAGACTATAAAATGTCCTTTTATGAAAAGATATCTGTTACCTATTTTACATAGCAGCAATTTGTCTCCTAGTGGTCTTTCACTCCACCTTCCGAAAAGTTAAAAACAGATCAAATCAAAAATTGTTCATGTCACTTCCACCAATCATGAGATATGTTCCTGCAATTCTTCAAAATATAAGGAATCCATATGTGGCCCTTGACTCCTTTGAACGTAGCTTCTTGATCTAAATGGATGATACTGCATTATTAAAAGGACTGCTTTATAATTGTTGACATGGGCCCACTGGCAGGTTTAGACATTTATTGCTTTAACAGTGTGGAACCCTTCTCTCCCGGGAAGAGTTTTAAGCATTGTTACTAAGTATTTTCTTTTTGAAGTGTTAATGATATGGATGTTTAAATCTGCTTTCAATTTCATAAGGATATTGGTCTATACTTTTAAGCTGCAATTTTAAGTCCTGCCATGAGAAGAGATAAATGTGTTATTAGAAAATGCACTTAATATTAAATGTGTTTTATTTGTCTTAGTTACTAAGAGCTGCAGTACCTCATTAATAGCAAGTTGTTCTCCTCCACCACCTGGGTGGCCATAACGATGACTTGAACTTCGGAAATCTTCATATAAATCCTCTTCACTCCCAATGTCATCACTGTTTTTTTCTAGTGATCCATCAGCAATTACTAAAATGACAAATACAAACATATATATAGGCATATTTGTTTAAGAATGTTGGCTAAATCAGGATGGAAATATTGTGATTAATGCATTGAAGTCATGAACTATACATAATCAGTCTATACATATTTAAAGTTTAATTAAATAAACAAACAGAGATATAATTTTAGGGCTATGAAATGCTTTAGATATGAAGGCAAAAATGTTTCAAAGCATGTGCTCTGTCACAGTAGAATCCCAGAAGAAGACACCGTTGTCTTCAGGAGTTACAGAATCCAGCATGTTTCCCTGTCAATAATTTATAAATAATATAATAGAACTATTTAACAGAGGTCTGGTGAGGAAAGTGCATTACCTAGTACTCCTTAAAAAAGAATAAAAATGTGGAATCTATTATACCATATTATGCATCTTCTTATAATAAATTAATTTCTTCTAAGGGTACTTCTGCTTCAGCAACATTTCACCCCAATCCCACATATAACAGCTTGAAACCAGACATAATTATATTCCCATCTGCCAATCTCAAAATGCAGAGATTGTTCAACATCCTGAACAATCAGTGATAATCTCTCCCCCCCAACACCACCATCCCGACCAATAACAGAAATAAGACCTATTTCTGATTGGAAAAATATCCTATTATAAAATAAACTGCAATTGAACTTCTCCTTTATCTATATTTCAGCATATGTGTCGGTGTGCAATCAGGTGATTTGTAAAAAAAATATATTAAGAAGTTGTTATAGAAAAATAGAATAACAGAATTGGAAGGGACCTTGGAGGTCTTCCAGTCAAAGCTCCTGCTTAGGCAAGAAATCCTACACCACTTCAGACAAATGGTTATCTAATCTCTTCTTAAAAACTTCCAGTGTTGGAGCATTTACAACTTCTGGAGGCAAGTTGTTCCACTGATTAATTGTTCTAACTGTCAGGAAATTTCTCCTTAGTTCTAAATTGCTTCTCTCCTTGATTAGTTTCCACCCATTGCTTCTTGTTCTACCCTCAGGTGCTTTGAAGAATAATTTGACTCCTTCTTCTTTGTGGTAACCCCTGAGATATCAGAACACTGTTATCATGTCACCCCTAGTCCTTCTATTCATAAGATTAAACACATCCAGTTCCAGCAACCGTTCTTTATATGTTTTATCCTCGAATTCCCTAATCATCTGTATTGCTCTTCTCTGCACTCTTTCTAGAATCTCAACATCTTTTTTACATTGTGGCGACCAAAATTGGATGCAGTACTCCAAATGTGGCCTTACCAAGGCATTATAAAATGGTATTAACACTTCACATGATCTTGATTCCCTCTGTTTATGCAGCTTTGGCTTTTTTGGTAGCTGTAGCATGCTACTGGCTCATATTTAAGTGATTGTCCACTAAGACTCCAAGATCCTTCTCACAGTCACCACTATTGAGCAAGGTACCACATATATTTATTTATTTATTTATTTATTTAAAAATTATGTATGGGAGCCATGACGCTCCCAGAATCATCCGTGTGGCCGCATTCTGGACCAATTGATAATAATCATCTGTGTGGCCGCATTCTGGACCAGTTGGAGCTTACGGGTGCTCTTCAAGGAGAGCCCCATGTAGAGAGCATTACAGTAGTCCAGGCGGGAAGTGACGAGGGCATGAGTGACCATGCGCAATGAGTCCCGATCCAGAAGGGACACAACTGAAAGGGAATCAGGCGAACCTGATAGAAAGCCCCCCTGGCCATGGCCATCACATGTTCTTGTAAGGACAGCCGTGCATCCAGGAGGACACCCAAGTTGCGAGCCCTCTCCGTGGGGGCCAACAACTTGCCCCCAATAGTCAGAGATGGCACCAGCTGACTATATCGGGACGCCAGGAGCCACAGCCACTCGGTCTTGGAAGGGTTGAACTTGAGCCTGTTTCTCCCCATCCAGATCCGCATGGCCTCCAGACACCGGGACATCACGTCAAGGGCATCATTGGGGTGGTCCGGGGTGGAAATGTACAGCTGAGTGTCATCAGCATACTGATGGAACTTCACCTCGAAACCACAGATGATCTCACCCAGTGGCTTCACATAAATGTTGAATAGAAGGGACGAGAGCACCGACCCTTGTGGCACCCCTCACACAAGGCGCCTCGAGGTTGACCTCTGGCTCCCTGTCAACACAAACTGCGATCAGTCAGAGAGAAAGGAGGAGAACCACCACAACACGGTGCCCCCCACCCCTAACCCCTCCAACCAGCAGCATGATACCATGGTCGATGGTATCAAAAGCCACTGAGAGATCTAATAGGACTAGGACCGAGGAACAACCCCTGTCCCGAGTCCTCCAGAGATCATCAACCAATGTGACCAATGCCATTTCCGTGCTGTACCTAGGTCTGAAACATGACTGGAACGGATCAAGATAGACCGCTTCATCCAGGTAATGGGGGAACTGTGGGGCCACCACACTCTTAACAACCTTCGCCACAAAGCGGAGGTTGGAGACTGGATGATATTTTGCTAAAATAGACGGCATGAAACATATGAAGAGTATTAAGGCACATGAAACTGTATCAGGTTTGGCTCTGTCCACTAATCCACTAAGCAATGTTCTCTACCTCAGTGATTTCTGTATATTTAACAGTATTTTGTCAGTTCTTTGCACCCCCAGCTCTGATGGAGAAAAAGTCATTCTAACAAGGTCAGTTACTAAGCCTAGCTATTGAAGCTTTTGAAAAAATAAATGGTTGATGTGGGAGGAATGTCTTCTTAGATCAAAGTATTTCCTTGTGAACTGTTCCCTTTTTCACAGCATGGAATTTTATTGTTTCATCAAATGTTTCATTATTTTTTTCTTTGAAGGGCTGTCTCTGCTTGTTCCATTACTGAGCTCTATAATTTTCAGCTTGAAGACAAATCTCTCCTGCCATTTTTACTGCTTTCTCTTTCTCCGTCTCTTTTGTTGCTGTTCTTGCCCCCCTCTGTTGCTATATGAATTGTACCGGATGAAAATAAAAAGTTATAGTGTGTGCTAAAATCTATTCCATCTATCCTAAGCCGCCTTGCAACCAAATGTGTGTTTGTCAAGCACATATTTGTTTTCTTGGCTTAACTCCTGTTTAGGGGTCAGGGCTCCTTCAGGGCTCCTTCAATCCTACAAAATGTTATTTTACTCTGGATTAGCTGTTAAAGCTTAGTTAAAGAAAGCTGCAGTGGCAGATTTCAGCCAACTGTTCTGCTGCTTCCAGGAACTGCAAAACAGCTGCTCAAATACTGAAAGAAAGAAGTAAAAGAAAATTTTCTTTGCAATAATAGAAACAAGGAAGGAATAGAATAGAATAGAATAGAATAGAATAGAATAGAATAGAATAGAATAGAATCACTAAGTGTTGTATCTTTTTACTCTTGATGAATGTATTTTATTCTGCTTATGTACACTGAGAGCATATATACCTAAGACAAATTCCTTGTGGATAGGAATAGAATAGAATAGAATAGAATAGAATAGAATTCTTGGTTGGCCAAGTGTGATTGGACACAAAAGGAATTTGTCTTAGGTGTATATGCTCTCAGTGTACATAAGGAGAATAAAATACATTCATCAAGAGTAAAAAGATACAACACTTAGTGATAGTCAAGATTACTAATAAGCTATCAAATCATACTAGGAAACAAATAAAAATATAATTGAAAGATTATAGTAATAAAAAGAATAATAGTAATACAGTCTTAGTAAATTATTTGACAATTTTCTTGGAATTAGTTGTTAAGCAGAGTGATGGAAGAGAAAAAGTAAGAGAGACAGAGAAAGACATTTTATGCTCTAAACCTGGACGCAGGAAAAAAGGTTGACAAGGCTTAAGCCATTCCATTCCAATCACATTTTTATACAAGTTACATCCCACCTCTCTGATCAAGAACACTTAAGATGGATCCAATTTTTTAAAAAAAGCATAAAACAATTATGTCATTAAAGTTGCTAAAGCCACTATTAAAATTAAACTAGAAAGACCTGGCTGAATATTTAATTCTTTTTCTAAACAGAAATCCAAAAGAAGTGCTTTACCTAGCTTTGAATCAACACCCACTCCCATGTTTAAAAAATAATGGATTTCTGAAAAAGACAATATTTTTAAGACAGCCTGGCCTGCTTATCTTAATGCTAAAATAGCTTTACATCAAAAGAGGTAATTCCTCTGATAATCACATCCTAAATAATTTAGAACTGTAATGCTACAATTGTGTCCGGGGAATAAATGGCAATCAGTGCAAGGTTTTGAGATGGCCATAATACACCCCAGTATTTGGGATAATCAGAAACCTAACTGGTGCTTCTTGTATCAGCTGAAGTTTTTGGCTATGCCTTAAAGGTGGCCACACAGAGAACCCATTGTAGTACACCATCTGGATATAACTGAAGCATCTTTAATTGTTAACAGGTTTAAGACTTCAGGAATGGTTGCAGTACCTGTACTACAGTAGATATATTTGTGCAAATGTATTTCTTGCCATTGATGTCCTTAGGAATCCAGAAACAGCTGGAGTTAAAGAGTACTTTCAGATTGCGGATACAATTTCCCCAAAGAGCTACTGCAATCAAATGGACTTAAGCAGAAACACTGACACAAAGGGGATGGCAATCCAAGATAAGTAATGCGTTTGACAATAAGTGGTGACAATCAGCCTACTTACATCCATGAATTTTGGAAGAGTTTGTGGTTGTTACTTTAATGGCCCTTTCTATATAATGTTGTAAGTTATTCAGAATCACCTTGCAGCGAAATGGGCCGAGAAATAATTGCAAATGAGCATAGTCCCAGAAGAATGGAAAAGATTAAATACTATTTCTATCTTCAAAGGAAAAAAAAAGACCTGGGTAACTTCAGGCCAGTCAACTTGTCATCAGTACTGACCAAAACAGTGGAACAAAATGTAATCATTTTGTGCTTATTTAGAAACCAATGCCTGCTTAGTAGAAACTAGCATAGTTTTATCAATAACAAGTCAAACCAAACTAACACAATCTACTTT